TTATTTATTTTTTTTACTTTTACTGAGTACCTTGACCCCTTGAGGCACTCCGTACAGGCAGAGTGTCGGAAGTGGAGCAACCCGGAAGTGATCGGCAGAGGGGGGGGAGGGGGTATTCCAGCGCTCATATTGGTTTTGTAAAAGAAAACAGGTAAATGTCTGTAAAACTAATGGAAGGGTTATGCTGGAATTCTACAAGAGCTGTATTAGGACACATGGATTTTTCATATACAGGAGCTGTGAGTGTAAGGGGGACATAGGTGCAAGCCTGACCTTTTTTTCTGTTAATTTTACATTCCTATCTACTGCAGCTAGTACAATTTAAAATGTTCTTTGACTCTTCTTTTACAGTTTTTTCCACTCTAGATGCAAGGAAAACACTCACACAAACGATATAAATTACTGTTACATGTCATTCTCTAAAGTGAGAATTCACAGTGAATTTCAAATGAAGACTTCGAGAATATTTCCGGGTTGGCTATTTTGACCTTAAAATTGGTAATTTATTTTAAATTCTCATTTTAGTGAATACACCTGTGAGTTATGCAGAGCACTTCTCAATTGTATGTCCTAGTTAGTAGATTCAGAAACTAAAATGTAGGATGTCTTTCAAATGCTGGAGTAATAGTATACAGATTTTTATTTAGATTTTCACTAAAGAAGCTATAATATTGTACAGTGCTATGGATTTAGTTGGCGCTATATAAATGCCAATAATAATATAAGAGAGCTTGTGGTTATACACTACCCCTAGTGACTGCTCGTGCTCTAAATTAGAGAACTATCTGTCATCCTGGAAGGCATTGGGCTGATCTTGCTGCAGTCCTATTGTCATCAGATGGTACCATGCAAGTAAAATTACCTCTGTTGTATCCAGGTTCAGACTGTGCCAGTTGGCACTCCTCCACCATTAGAGATTGGCCAGACAGTTATTTATCATAATGACTGGATTGTTTGTACTTGGATTGTATTTCTGCTTGGCTTATTTCCAAGTCACTAAACGCACCCACCCCCTTCCTTCTGATTATCCTCTGGTCTACTTAGACTCTCTACTGTTATCTATCTTTTCAATGTCAATATAGCAGGCTACCTAGAGATCCATATCAGTCATTTCTCTTCTTTAAACATGGCAGTTCTGTTAACCAACTATTAAAAAAATTATAGTAATATTTTTTTTTTTATTATTATTTGTGTACAAAGAACAATAGCCGCCTTACTTATGTTGTGTCAGAATGTCATCTATTGAAAGCATTCACATTGCAAACATGAGAGATAAAATAGATTCACGTGCCAGTGGTGTAGGTGAAAAGAAGCATCATCAGAATGATAATGAGGTTTCTAACTAGGTGGCATTAACTCTTACTCAAAAACCTTCAACAGAAAATGATTAATCATTATTAATAATAATTAGCTGCCGAGTTGGTCCTGGAGTAGATATGATTAACATTTCATTTACTGATCCTACTAAGGTCTCCATTTCTAAAAAGCATTGCACTGGGGGGGGGGAAACTTGGCCATTTAACACCACATATAGACTCCAAGGACCATGATCACTTCAAAATACTGCCGTGGTAAAGGTATTTGGGGTAACCCTTTAAAGTGAAGCTGCAGACCCCTTACACATTTCAATTAAATTGCTTTAGGGGTTAAGCACGTCCCTCTTTTCTCCTGAAATCCTGAGAGACATAAATTCTAACAGTATTAACGCTTATTATATACTCACTTAGTCTATTAGGGTCACAGTCATTGCATCTGCAGAGTTCAGATTGAGTAACAACTGAGGGCCTTGTTCTCTAGGGGGCTAACTTTCAAGCTCCTCCACAAGCAATATAATTCAGGTGGCACAGATTTACATGGGTTCGCATTGGGCTGCCAGGTGTGTAAGCTTCTATTATCAAAGAATTTTACTGGGTGATCGTTTGATCGAAGCATGTCATTCTCCCAGAAAGCAGCAGCAACAGAGAACTTGCCACTGGATAAAAAGGTGGTTACAAAAATTTTTTTTAGTTTGGAAGGGGCACATGTAAAAGGTTAAGGAAACACTCTAAACATTAAACCTGAATATTGTTTTTTATCATTGGAGTGTTCATCTAATTTTATGGCAAGACAGGAGGCTTCATATTTGCTTATCTTTCTTTACTGTAACTCCCAGCAGCAAAGAAATGGTTAACAATGTTGTATGGAAAAATCAACCAATCATAACATATCTCAACTACAATATAGTGTCATCAAACTCCTCCCACTTCCTCTTTCTTTGCTGCTTGCCTCCCAGGTGAGTCTGCTCCAATTACATTGCCTTACTGGTTTTAAGTTAATTCAATATTTTTTTTATTTAAACCTTGTTACTGCATACATAGAATTCATCTTAAAAAATTTATTTTGATTCAATCACCTTTTCCTTTAAATATTTCCTTTTTTTCCTCACACATATATTATTTTTTTCTTATTTCACTGTATTGTTATTATTGGATTGTTTTTCCCCTTTAAATTTGGCGTCCTAACCGGTTTTTCAGTGCACGGAGGGTTTTTCGAACCCTGCCGTTTTCAATCAGCTGGCCGCGGCTTTATTCTCTCAGGAAGAGCCGCGGCCCATTCTCTGCCTCTCTTCAGCCGCGGACTCCATCTCCCAGAGCCCGCGGCTGCTTTTTTCCCGCCATTACCTTCCTCCCGCCTACCAAAGGCGTCTCTCCTATGACGCGGACCTTTCCCGCCCTTTCAACGGCGGCGATCTCGCGGCAGCCATCTTAAACTGCAGTGTAACTGCCAACGGCTCCTCCACTGCGGCGCGCAAGTTTTTTTCACGATCATCCTGTGGGTACAGACTTTTATTAACTAGTTTGTGGAAGGTAGGTTGTTGCCACCTTATATCTCCACCTATTTTTCATAAAGCTCATTAAAAACGATCACTTACTGATCTATCTCCTATCTGTTTTTTTCCACAGGCTTTGCCCACACAGGACCATTTTATTACACTCTGGGTGAACCCCTTTCCTTAAGTTGTATAATTACAGTGTGGTTTGTTTTTACCAAATTTTGTCTGACTGACCATTTTATTTCCCTCCTGTGGGTGAACCCCACTTACTTATTTAAAGTACATATTATGTACAATATTTGTGTGGTTGACACCACCTACTGAATACACTGCTGTGTACATATTTATGTGGCTAACACCACCTGATTTATTTTTTGTGGGTGACCCCCATTACTTACTGTACATTATATATACATTATATATATTATTGGTGTAATTTTATAGTGGTGACCCCACCTCAGTAACTGTACAATATTTCTATTGCTCACAATCTGTATTATTGGGTGACCCCCATTAATTGTCCTTTACTATTTTATTGTGCCAAGCATTTGTGGGTGACCCCCATTGTTTGACGTCTCGTGGGTGACCCCCACCTCATATTTTTCTAATTGAGTTGCCTCATCCTTAATTGATACTCTTTAATCTATATATATATATATATATATATATATATATATATATATATATATATATATATATATATATATATATATATATATATATATATAGTTGTTATTAGGGTTTACATTTATCTTTAAATTGTCATTATGTCAGATCGCCAAGACCCTGCGATCTCTGCCGAACTTAAGGAATGGCTTTTCTCAACTATCGCAGAGTCCATTCCTAAGCCTCTGGCAGCCTACCATGAACGTAATCCAGAGGTACACCCCTCTACACAACAGCCCTCTGATTCTGAGGACTCCCATATCTCCGACCAAGATAGCGCCCCGCGCAAGAGACCCTGGAAAGGGAATAGCGCTACTGCGGGCAAGGGCAAAGCTCCTGCTAAGGTCGTTAAACATTCTAATCCCTATGTTTCGCAGGATGCTACAGACCCTCTAGAGGGTTCTACTTCACTTTTATCTGGCCATATTCTAAGTGACTATGACCCCAATTACTCTGATGAGGATCCCATGGTGAATGTGCCCCAGGATTCCTCAACATCGGAGTTCGTGAAAGAAACCTTCCTAAGTCAAGATCACAAGAGTAAGGTACCTGACTCAGACACCCTCCTGGATGCTTCAGGCCTTCCCCTTTTTGACCCAAGGGTGATACGCCACCCGCGCTCAGCAGAATGGGCTCCCCCAGATCATATTGCTAATTTCTGTAAACTGTGGCTTCGCAAGCCCCTCGAAAAAGAAATCCGAAACAAACTAAGGGCTGAATGCCCGAGACCAACTATCCCAGGCAAAGTTGCCTCTACTCCTGAATTTGATCCCATGCTGGTCACCTATTTAACAAAATCTGGTAAAGACCCTCGTAAGGGTATTGAGCAGGGTTTGAAAGTGACCCAAGACAAATTATTGGACATTTCAGGTCCTATTATACAAATATTTATACTCGCAGATGAGGCACTCACCAGCGGTGAACTAGACCCGCATATTATAAGAGAATGGGCACAGAGAGCCCTTTGCCTTCTGGGCAACGCCAATACGGCTATTTCAATTGAGAGACGCAAAGCGGCACTGTACAAAATCGATGCCAAACTAGTGGATTTGAGCACTAAAGAACTATGCCCAGAAGCCGATGGTCTTCTATTTGGTAACAGTTTCATGCGAGATCTCTCCAAGCATGTCTCAGTTTTTACCACACTCAATAAAGCCCAGTCCTCCCTACGTAGGGTGTTCTGTCCCACTACTCAAAATCGTTTTTCTGGGAGAGCTGGTCGCTCAAGGGGCCGAGCTACCAGTAGAGCAGCCTTTACAGGCTACAGGCCCCGACCCACAGAGTATTGGTCCACGGGATACTCACGACCCTACCACAGACAGCTGTTCAGCACCAGAGGCTCAATTCGAGGACGTGGCTCTGCATCCCTGCGCGGACGCACTGCTTCAGGTAATGGACCTTGCTTATTTAAAAAATGTATCAATCGCAGGTCGATTAACATTCTTTTTCCAACAGTGGAAACTTCTTTCTCAGGATCTTTGGATCCTTCATACAGTCACAGGTTTCAAAATAGATTTTATCACACATCCAGTTCAATATTTTCACCCGACACCCTTAGAGATGTCAAAAGCAGACACTCTAACCTTGAACACAGAACTGACAAAATTGGTACACAAAGGGGCAATCGAACCTTCGCCTTTCCCTTGCACCTTCCTCAGCTATATATTTCTGGTTCGGAAAAAAACTGTGGACCACCGTCCCATTATCAACCTCAAGGCGTTGAATCGCTTTATCACATACCGTCATTTCAAGATGGAAGGTATCCATCTTCTCAGGGACTTGCTCTGCGTGGGAGACTGGTTCTCCAGATTCGACCTCAAAGATGCTTATCTGACGGTCCTTGTAGCACCAAGTCACCGTGCCTTCCTCCAATTCCGTTGGCAAGGCGACATTTGGCAGTTTACCTGCCTCCCATTCGGACTTTGTTCTGCTCCATGGTGTTTCACCAAGTTGATGAAACCAGTCATGGCGCTCCTTCGTTCTCAGGGCATACGTTCAATTATATATTTGGACGATATCCTGATCATGGCACAAGATCAGCAATTACTTCGCAAACACACACACATGACCTCTGCCCTCCTTCAAAACCTAGGTTTTGTCATAAATTACCAGAAATCAGACCTGGTACCTTCTCAAATAGTCCAATTTCTGGGTTTTCAGATAGATTCAGTTCAAGCAACTCTACAGTTACCCTACTCCAAAATCAAAAATATAAAACGAGAGATTCAAAAATTACTCAAGTCACAACGACCTCGGCTCCGCGACCTAGCACACGTTCTGGGTCTTCTGTCTGCATCAATTCAGGCTATTTTTCCAGGGCCCTTGCATTACAGAGCAATGCAACGGCTGAAAACCTCCTATTTACATCGCTCGACCTCTTACGACCAAGTCATTTTCCTAACAGACGAAGTTCTCATCAAACTTCACTGGTGGCTTCGCAATATGGAAGCCTGGAATGGGAAAGCGATTTTCGGATCTCAACCAGATTTTATTCTGGAATCCGATGCCAGCCTACTCGGTTGGGGCGCTACGTGCGCCCAATCATACACAGGAGGTCTCTGGTCCCCGTCATAACAAGCACTTCACATAAATTGTCTCGAGCTCATTGCCGGATCCTTCGCGATCCGCAGCTTTGCCAAAGAAGCCTCCAACTGCTCTCTGGTACTTCGGATGGACAACATCTCCGCAGTACGATATGTAAACCGACTCGGAGGGTCCAAATCGAAACTGCTGTCAGACCTCACCAAGGATCTGTATCAGTTTTGCTTAGACAGGAATCTGTCTATTCGGGCCGAGTATCTCCCAGGACCCGACAATTTAGTCGCGGACTGGTTCTCACGTCACTGGAGGGATGCCAGCGACTGGCAATTAGATCCTCTTCTATTCCACCACATTCACCTATTGCGAGGACCGCTCACTCTCGACCTCTTCACGTCTCGGCTGAATCGTCAAACAGACGATTATTTCAGCTGGTTACCAGACCCTCTATCCCTAGCTGTCGACGCTTTTCTCCAACATTGGCCACGGAGCGGAGCCTATGCCTTCCCTCCTTTCTCCATGATTCAACGTACTCTCCACCAGGTCAAATCACAGGGGGTCAGGATTGTGATAGTTACCCCTCTATGGCGGGCCCAGACGTGGTTCCCCACTCTTCTGGAACTTTCCACAGATTACCCCATCATTCTACCTCGCTCACATCGGGTTCTCAAGAACTCAACGGGCGACTACCATCCACTAGCCCTACAGGGCCATCTTCAGTTAGTGGCCTGGACAGTTTCAGGGGTGCTTGGCATGTCGCAGGACTTCCAAGCACTGCTCAAACACTCCTATGGGATTCATGGGCACCAGGAACCAGGCGCACCTATCTCGCCGCATGGCGAGTTTGGGTCAGCTGGTGTCTGGAGAGGGATTTCGATCCCGTTTCAACATCTCTCTCATCCATTCTAAATTTTTTATCATCCCTTTTCGATCAGGGTAAATCATACCGATCGATTAATGTTTTTCGTTCCGCCAATTCGGCGGGACATGACCCTATTGATAATTCCTTAGTTGGGAAACATCCTTCTGTGTGCAGACTTTTACGAGGCATTCGTTTGACGAGGCCACCTTCTGCCAAATACTCTGGCTTCTGGGACATATCTCGAGTCTTCGCATTGTTAGAGTCCTGGCCTCCTAACGAGGCCTTATCCCTTCGACAGCTCTCTGCAAAATTGGCCCTGCTACTGTGCCTGGTGTCCTTCCGCAGAGTTTCTGACGTTCACGCTTTTGATTCACACGCTGTCTCCTTCACACCAGAAGGGGTCCGATTTACGATTACTAGGCGCACTAAGACGAATTCCTCGTCTGTCTTTTACCCATACTTTCCCGACAGGCCAACCCTCTGTGTGGCTCTGTGTACTCGTTGTTACACAGAGGCAACTGCCGCCCTACGTTCTCCTACCGGTCCCCTTTTCATCTCTTATGTCAGACCTCACAAACCGGTCTCTTCCCCCACTATCGCTCGCTGGATAAGATGTTTACTTATCCAAGCGGGAATCGATAGATCATTTGGGGCCCATTCCGTTAGGGGAGCGGCCGCATCCTCTGCCTTTCAGGCCGGCAGTTCATTAGCGGACATTTTGTCCTGCGCAGATTGGTCAAGGGAATCTACCTTTCGGATTTTTTATTTTAAACCAACACAAACACATGCGGCTTGTTCTATTATTCGAGAGCGTTAAAACAGCAAATATGAAGCCTCCTGTTTTGCCATAAAATTAGGGATTATTCTAGCTTTTAGTGAACGAATAATCTGAATTTTATTAAAGACAGGAGGCGAATATTTTCCCTCCCTTCGTTCACTCTGGAACCCACCCTCGAGGTAAGTCTCATAATCAATAATTAATGTATGATACCATTGTTACATACAAACCTGCTATATACGATTTGCTCATCTTTGTGGTTATACACCTATCTCATAGAGTACTGATAGATCTTTATAATTTTGATTATTCTGACAATTTGTATGACCTATAATTGGAAATAGGGGGTTCAACTATATATATTTTTCTCTTGTCCGAGGAACCTTACTTTCACGAAGTCTCTCTTTTCTTTTAGTGTGAAGATCTCAAGTTTATTCGATCAACTTTCCGTTTACATGGTTGACTTCATCTCGAGTTTCAGCTTCGGGAACTGTTCCGGTTAAAGTTTACATGGTTGACTTTGCTACTGACTGGCAACATCAAGAAAGAGGAAGTGGGAGGAGTTTGATGACACTATATTGTAGTTGAGATATGTTATGATTGGTTGATTTTTCCATACAACATTGTTAACCATTTCTTTGCTGCTGGGAGTTACAGTAAAGAAAGATAAGCAAATATGAAGCCTCCTGTCTTTAATAAAATTCAGATTATTCGTTCACTAAAAGCTAGAATAATCCCTAATTTTCCAACCTTTAATTGGGGCAGTCCATTCAAGTTGTAGTACAACAATGACATAGCCGTGTTCACCATGGTTTCAGTAAAGGAACAGCTAGCTGCCCCCATGTGGTAGATATTTGAAAATTAATATAAATAAAATAAATGCTGATTTTTGTATTTGTATAGCTTTCTCTTAGGGATGCCTGTTTCAACCATGACAATTGGCAAATATGACACTTGATACACAATTACTCTTTGTAAGAACACACAATTACTGATTACATAGACTGTTACATCACTAAATCCTGTCCAAAGCTCAGCATGCTGGGTTTAGAACCACAGAGTTATTTCCACAGAGTTATAGTTATGGTCTCTGTGAAAGAAATACTCTCCATAACCACTACAGCTCATTGGCTGAAAGCAAGCCGCTGACGATTTCAGATCGGAGAAACAATGGAAGCTTTTAATAGAGGCAGTGACCACCTGACAGCATACACAGGTAAGTTGTCAAGCTGTTGACAAGTGTTAAACTAACTATTTAGGAACGCTGCCTGGCAATCACACTGGAAAGGTGTTTTCGCTCACCTTTCCCCCCATGCCGCACTGGTCTGGCTGCTGTTGGCTTTATCTCTATGGGCAGTGCATGTAGACACAGTGTGCAGCATTGGATTAGAAAGCAACTCTAGTGGCTTTCAGAGTAACTGCCACTAGAGGTGTTCCTAGAAAGCAATGTAAACACTCCCATTTCTCTAAAGAGGCAGTATATACAGTGCTCAGCCTGCAGAGACAGGCTATAGACACCAGACCCACCACATTAGGCTGTAGTGGTTCTGGTGACTATAGTTTCCTTTAAGACTAACTGTTGAAGAGAAACAAAACTTCTATCACACAATATTGAAATTCTTCAATTATTTATATGCCCCAAAAAAACAAGTCACACATAACAATATCCAGACATTTCCAGGATTATTAAAGGGACACTATAGTCACCAGAACAACTATGTAACAGTACCCCCAGGCATAAAAGGGGTTAAACGCTGTTTAGGAGATATTCCCTTCCAGATACAGCTACTGACTAACTTTTTCAGAAGTATACTCCAAATACAAGCATACTCAAAAATCCCCTCCAGTGGTTTAAAAGTTAGGTCGAAGTCCTTTGTGACCAAATGAAGCCTGGCTTTTCTGCCCAAAACCAGTTCCACAGAGCACTCTATCCTGGAGATCATTGGCTTAACTGGGTGTGGTAAGCCAACTATCTCTAGGTACAGAAAATATCTCTATTCACAACAACAGCAAAAATACATAATTCCTGTCATACTGATAGCTTGGATCTGAGTGCTCAATATATCCAAACAGCGCTCAGATCCCACAAACACAGTCAAATCGCCATGGGGTTTAAGTTTAGCATGGGCTGATGAAAGGGGCCATAGTCATGAGGCAGCAGGCTGGCAATCAGGCTTCTCCATAACCCAATGGCGAGGTTAGTTTCGCCACAAACTACAATATTGTTGTATTTGTTCTGGTGAGTAGAATCATTCCCTTCAGGCCTTTTACTGTAAACACGGTCTTCACAGAGAAATTGCAGTGTTTACATTACAGCCTACTGATAACTCCACTGGCCACTCCTCCGATGGCTGTTAGAGATCCTTCCTGGGTCATGGCTGCCTAAAATGCATCCAAACATTCACTATCTCCTCCCTCTGCATGCAGACACTTTCCTAATTTCCTCATAGAGATGCATTGATTCAATTCATCTCTATGAGGAGATGCTGATTGGCCAGGGCTGTGTTTGACATGTGCTGGCTCTGCCTCTGATCTGCCTCCTTGATAGTTTCA